TCATAAACAGCTTGATTTTTACTGTCTAAAATCAATTCACTCTCATAAACAGGTTGAGTTTTACTGTCTAAAATCAATTCACTCTCATAAACAGCTTGATTTTTACTGTCTAAAATCAATTCACTTTCATAAACAGCTTGATTTTTACTCTTTAATTGTAATCTGGTGCACAACTTTGTTTTTACTGTTTAAAACAATAAATTCACTGCATGCACAGCTTGGTTTCTATTGTCTATAATAAAAGATCTACTGCGATACAAAATCTGTTTTTACTGCTTAAAATAACATATATTATCATGTGCAGCTTTGTTTTACCATCCAAAACAGCAAATATGCTATTATGTGAACCAAGTTTTTATTGTCTAAAATTAAAACTTGCCACCATTTATAATTTTTTCATTTATAAAATGTATGATTTGTAATATCAAAACTAAATTTGTTGCTACATTCAATTTGGTGTTTATATTCTAAAATAAAACATTTACTACCATGTACAGCTTGGTTCTCCTGTCTAAAGTGACAAAGAACTTTCAGTTTTTATTGTATATAGTAAAAAAAGCAATATCAAGCAAAACTCAATTTTATTACAATTCAATATAACAGCTTTACCCACATGCACAGAATGGTTTTTATGATATAAAATAATATATTCAACACCATGCACAGCTTAGTTTGCACTTTTTCAATTTAGAGGTCAATATTTCATAAAGCTTTAATCTTACTATTCATATTAACAAGTTTACCATCATGCAAAGGTTGGTTATTTTTCTCTACCTAAAGAGAGATTTTTGTAAAGCTATCCATTTTACTAAAACTTCTGATCCAAACTGTCATACTTCCAAACTTAAGGAAAACATTTTAGAATTGCAAAAGTGTTTATATGTTTAAACAGACGTTTTGTACATTTCCCACCACATATGATAATCCACAAAAGTTATCATGCTTTTTGTTCAATATTTTTTAACATACTACTACACTTCATCTGCTACATATAACAAAGCTCACATATAAAACTAAAAGTAATTAAATAACAAAAGAAATAAATAATGAGGTAGTGATAAATAAGAATGAAACTCAAAACAGCAATGGGCAGAAATTTAAATCAGCTATATGGTTTACATTAATTAACACAAGTTCAATGCTTACACAAGACTTCAAAATATTTTTCTTTGGTAACACAACCTCACATAGAAGTTGTCTTTTACAAAGTGGAAATGACACAAAGACAAAACAATCACCAAGTTTAAAAACCCTAACAGGTTCAAAAGTTAGAAACAGTTGTACAAATATTTTGAACAAATCAAACATAGACTCTGGGAGTTTTATTAATATGAAGCATAATAAGGGTAATGTTTATCAACACAAAATAGCTTTAAGATTGTTAACTAGATGGAATTTATAGGATCTTTAATCTAGTATAAACATATCACATTTTTCAGTCTTTATATCAACAGTTGTTCCATAAATATGAACATAAACAAATTTAACTTACCAATAAAAAAATAATATAATTACACTATTTCACTTATGAAATGATCTAGGAGTTAAATAATGATTATTATGTGTTCTAAGTGATCTATGTTAAGACTTAGGATGCATGTACTACAGGCTGACTTGCATGTTATAACTGATATATATCCACATACACACACACAACTAGGTAAGAAGACTTCTTGTCACATAAGAAACATATGTAAATACAGTAACTATAGACAATAACAAGCTAAACTAAACACAAGAAACAACATCCTGCAACAGGCAAGCAAAGACTTTTCAAATACATTAAAACCAAGGCTGCCATTCTTAAAGGACAGTTCACAAGACAAAGGTACTTATGCTCTGAGGATAAAACCTTCTTTGCAAAACATGAAGTCTAAGGCAGGATTTTCGAAAAAGTAACTACCTGGCTGAAGTTACCAAAAAGCCCACAACCACGTACACACTGTATCACATACCAATGACATCCAACCTAATGACAAAAGTCAAAACAATAGAATGCCTTGATATTAATACACTTTCCCCTCAGCAGGTTAGTAAGAAATCTCATACAGAAAAAAATATCAATTTATTCAAGATTGATCCCACCAATGCTGACACATTTGCTACAATTCTGATAATCTCTTATAGATGTAATCCAAATCGTAAAGACCACTTGGTGCACTCCAGACTACAAGAGACCCCCCTCTCCCACTATTGGAACCCACCAATGTATATGTCCATATGTTTTAAACAACACCACGATAAGTAGCCCTGGTTCCATATTTCATGTTGTAAAGCAGGTGTTATAAACTATATATCTAAGAAATAGACCTCAGACTCTGTGATTATTCTTACAAACACCTTAGATCTATAGAAGAAAGCTCCACTAACCTCCCAGTTACTAGGCACTTCAATATTCCTGATCATAGTAGTACCTTTGACATAGATGATCAATAAGTTAAAACAAGAGCCTAGAACATCACCTCACCCTCCAATTCAACACATAAACTCCATATATAATTAACAAAAGATTTATTTTAAAACATAAAAAATAATAATATTCAATCAAACATTTTTCTAGATGTGTTTTACTTACCATTTATTGAACCTTAACTTGATGAATCCTTCCCCTTCTTAGAAATATTTCCCTAGATTATTACTTCTGCATTTATACACTAAGTTTCCTAAATCCAGCTTCAAGTGCTCTAACTATAATTTTTCCATCTTCTTGCTAATCTTAATACTGTTTATAAAAGAAGCTCAACAATGTTTTTCTCTAAAAATATTTTTCTTAATGTGTTCTATGTAGAACATAAGTAAAATCTCTGCGTATTTTAACCCTTCAAGAATTCCTTCTCGGCCTAGTTTCTATGTAACATGTTATCTACTGCCTGGTAAGGGTCTGCCCAAAATGTTGAACAAAATACAACTAAGTAAAATATTTATTTAGGTGTGTTAATTTATCCTTTATTACTCTTTTATCTGAATTGTTTCTGTTCATGTCTTGTGGAACAACAGCCACTCAACAACTTAATACAAGACAAGTATCACGGTTTAAAGCTTGTAGAATTTTGCTTCATCTCCAAATGAATGTAATTGAGATGTTAATATTATAGCTTCATAAAAAAACATTTTATTTTAGAAACCAGAAACAATTTTAACAAAACAAGCATCTCTTAAATGTTTTTCAAGTTAGTATTTCTGATGGTAAATGAAGTAAAATCAGATCAACAGGCTTAAAAAAAAAAGACTATTTATATACATATGTACAATCATTACCATCATTTTTAAGAGCCAATCCTGTAAATTACTGCTAAAAGCCTTTAAAGATTTATACCTATGATGCAAAAATAAATACTTTTATTCTCTAATAAAAGAAGTTATTTTTCTAAGCAAAGGGAAAAGCCATACAGTAAAGAATCAAT